GGGGGGGGGGGGTGGGCATTGCTGGTCTGTGACGGTAAGGTCTCGGGTTCAAATCTCTTAAGAGCCGTGCTTATGGTAATCCGCTCTGTGCCGCTCCAATGGGAGTCGGAATCAGCTTGGCGTGATCTGTCGCAGCCGCAATGGCGCTTACTCGGTGCAGCTCCTGTCTGGGTCATTAATGTGTATTTATAGGCAGGTTATGGACACTCAGGTTCCTAACGAGCTGAGAGCACTGAAGTAATCCCTTCTCTCAGCAGCTAAGCTCACCCTGCTCCCTCTCCCAGCAGCGACTCAGCAGGTCAGCTCACCCTGCTCCCTCTCCCAGCAGCGACTCAGCAGGTCAGCTCACCCTGCTCCCTCTCCCAGCAGCGACTCAGCAGGTCAGCTCACCCTGCTCCCTCTCCCAGCAGCGACTCAGCAGGTCAGCTCACCCTGCTCCCTCTCCCAGCAGCGACTCAGCAGGTCAGCTCACCCTGCTCCCTCTCCCAGCAGCGACTCAGCAGGTCAGCTCACCCTGCTCCCTCTCCCAGCAGCGACTCAGCAGGTCAGCTCACCCTGCTCCCTCTCCCAGCAGCGACTCAGCAGGTCAGCTCACCCTGCTCCCTCTCCCAGCAGCGACTCAGCAGGTCAGCTCACCCTGCTCCCTCTCCCAGCAGCGACTCAGCAGGTCAGCTCACCCTGCTCCCTCTCCCAGCAGCGACTCAGCAGGTCAGCTCACCCTGCTCCCTCTCCCAGCAGCGACTCAGCAGGTCAGCTCACCCTGCTCCCTCTCCCAGCAGCGACTCAGCAGGTCAGCTCACCCTGCTCCCTCTCCCAGCAGCGACTCAGCAGGTCAGCTCACCCTGCTCCCTCTCCCAGCAGCGACTCAGCAGGTCAGCTCACCCTGCTCCCTCTCCCAGCAGCGACTCAGCAGGTCAGCTCACCCTGCTCCCTCTCCCAGCAGCGACTCAGCAGGTCAGCTCACCCTGCTCCCTCTCCCAGCAGCGACTCAGCAGGTCAGCTCACCCTGCTCCCTCTCCCAGCAGCGACTCAGCAGGTCAGCTCACCCTGCTCCCTCTCCCAGCAGCGACTCAGCAGGTCAGCTCACCCTGCTCCCTCTCCCAGCAGCGACTCAGCAGGTCAGCTCACCCTGCTCCCTCTCCCAGCAGCGACTCAGCAGGTCAGCTCACCCTGCTCCCTCTCCCAGCAGCGACTCAGCAGGTCAGCTCACCCTGCTCCCTCTCCCAGCAGCGACTCAGCAGGTCAGCTCACCCTGCTCCCTCTCCCAGCAGCGACTCAGCAGGTCAGCTCACCCTGCTCCCTCTCCCAGCAGCGACTCAGCAGGTCAGCTCACCCTGCTCCCTCTCCCAGCAGCGACTCAGCAGGTCAGCTCACCCTGCTCCCTCTCCCAGCAGCGACTCAGCAGGTCAGCTCACCCTGCTCCCTCTCCCAGCAGCGACTCAGCAGGTCAGCTCACCCTGCTCCCTCTCCCAGCAGCGACTCAGCAGGTCAGCTCACCCTGCTCCCTCTCCCAGCAGCGACTCAGCAGGTCAGCTCACCCTGCTCCCTCTCCCAGCAGCGACTCAGCAGGTCAGCTCACCCTGCTCCCTCTCCCAGCAGCGACTCAGCAGGTCAGCTCACCCTGCTCCCTCTCCCAGCAGCGACTCAGCAGGTCAGCTCACCCTGCTCCCTCTCCCAGCAGCTCAGCTCACCCTGCTACCCCCTCCCAGCAGTGAGTCAGCAGCTCAGCTCACCCTGCTACCCTCTCCCAGCAGCGACTCAGCAGGTCAGCTCACCCTGCTCCCTCTCCCAACAGCGACTCAGCAGGTCAGCTCACCCTGCTACCCCCTCCCAGCAGCGACTCAGCAGGTCAGCTCACCCTGCTACCCCCTCCCAGCAGTGACTCAGCAGCTCAGCTCACCCTGCTCCATCTCCCAGCAGTGATTGGCAGCTTAGCTACACCCCTCCCAACAGTGATTGGCAGCTTAGCTCACTCTGCTCCCCCTTCCCAGCAGTGACTCAGCAGCTCAGCTCACCCTGCTCACCCTTCTCAGCAGCTCAGCTCACCCTGCTCCCTCTCCCAGCAATGACTTAGCTCAGCTTACTCTGCTCCCTCTGCCAGCAGGGACTTTGTAGCTAAGCCCCGCCTTAGCAGCTCAGCTCACCTTGCTCCATCTTCTAGTCCTAACACAACAGCTCATCTCACCCGGATCCCCACTAAAGTGACTCAGCTTACAGCCCCCTCCAAATAGTGACTCAGCAGCTCCATTTCCCCCTTACCAGCAGTAACTCTGTAGCTCAGCTCACCATGCTCCCCCCTCCCAGCAGTGACTGCATGTCTGCTTTCCCTTCCCGGCAGCTCAGCTCACACTGTTCCACGCTCCAACCAGTGACTCAGCAGCTCAGCTCAGCCTCTTCCCTCTCCTCAGCTTCCCCTGCCCGACACTGACTCTTTAGCTCGGCTCACCCATCTTCCTCCAGCAACCAGTTGCTCTGCTCCCCCCCTCCCAGCAGTGACTCAGCAGCTCACACCACCCTACTTCCTGCCTTCCCCAGTTTGACTCAACCTTCCTGCCTAAACCCAGCAGGAACTCTGAGAAGGGGGAGCAAGGTAAACAGAGCTGTTGAGGAGACCTGATTGGTCCCAAGTGCTGCCCCTCCCTGAGAAGCTGGGGGAGGACCTGTGGGGTTGCTCAGGGGCTGGACTCAGAATGGGGCAGAGCTGGAAGGATATGAGGTCTGGGAGGACTAGCCAGACTTCTATGTACTGAGAAATGATGCCAATGAGTGTCTCTGCTTTGCCAGGTATTGTCCCCAACGAGGGTCAGTTCCCGAACGCCCACGGGTCCCGCATTGAGCTCCTGTGCACCGGGCCCATGTGCCGCTATGCAGTGGACCTCCCGCTCCTCCTGAAGGTGATGGGTGGGAAAGATTCGGAAAAGTGAGTACAAGACCGTTAATGGAGTTTTATGAAGGGCGGCGTCACGTGTGCCCAAACCCAAAATGGCCGACCGGTCCTCAGATGTGGCGGCCGCATTAGTTTTCTCTTTTCAGGCTAAGAACATTTTCACCCCGGTGCCCCCACCTTCCTGTAATGGAGATGTACAAAGGCAGATGTGTTTAAAGTCCAGCTTGGGTGACCACCATGACGTCCTCGGTGGATACAATGGAAGAGAGTTGTCACCCAGGAACAGGAAGTGTGTCGCCAATGAGAATGACCCACCATGGGGTCAATGTGGAACCATCGGGGCTGATTTGTAGGATATTCATCAGTGGTTCTCTTCCTCCCCCAGGCTCTCTCTTGATCAGGAAGTATCTCTGCGCAGTCTGCGCTTCTTCACCATGGAGAATGACGGCGGTTGTCTCTTTGTGTCGTCCATGGATGAAGAATTAGTCCAAGCGCAAAGGCGGGTGAGAAAAAACGGGTCCATGAGATGATCGACCTTCTCCCCCCTTTTTTTATTGTCCCCTCCCCCTTCCTCCTTCCTTCGCCTTTCCGTTCTTCTCCGACTCCGATTTTCCCCTCTTCTGTCCTTTCTTCCCTTCGCTCGCACACCCGTTCCTTCATCAGCCCTCGTGTTTGCCCTCTTACCCCCCTGTTCCTCCATCGGCCATCGTGTTTGCCCTCCTACACCCCTGTCCCTCCATTGGCCATCGTGTTTGACCTCCTACACCCCATAGCCCCTCCCCCAGCCTCACCCTTTCCTTTTTCCCCCTCTTTCGCCCTTCCTTCCCTTTGCTCATACTCCCCTGTCCTTCCCTCCATCACTCTCCTCCTAGTTAACCCACATACGGCCCCTCACCCCACAGATCACCACACCTTCAAGCCCGTGGTGACCCCGCCAGAGCCTTGACCCCACATTCCATTACTTCCTCTCTGGAAGTAATGGCCTTTGTCTCTGTCCTTCTTCCCTCCATCATACGGCCCCTCACCCCACAGATCACCACACCTTCAAGCCCGTGGTGACCCCGCCAGAGCCTTGACCCCCCCCTTATTCTATCACTTCCTCTCCGAAAGTTACCCGATTTGCCTGTATACAGATAACTATCTACATCCGCAATTGCTGAATCCTTTGTTGCGGGATATCAGGGCTTGTTCATCCTCTAAAGTCCAGTATCACTTTTACAGGTGGTCCAGCATTTAGAGACTTCACTTGGAGTCAGCGTTCAACCGATCAACATATACAACATGCGGTATTCCTTCCAGATCTGGTCCGCTGTGATGTCATCAGGCGGGGGCAAAGAAGAGGTAAAGCTTTATAGTAATGGAAAGTGGTAGCATGGAAGGGAGAATTGTGTCTCGGTAGCATCATGAAAGAAGCCTGACTGATGCGTTTCGAGTGAAAGGCCTCCTCCTCCTGCTTTGTGGTATGGTTCGTAGTTTTATATTTCACTAGAAATCCTGGTGCTATGATGGTGGTTGGCCAAGAAGAGTGTTTGAAGCAGAAGCAGGGACATCCTTGCGTGTTCATGAAAGCAGGGTTGTCTTTATTACCTTCACGGGGTCATTTCAGACTATCGGAGAGGCTTCTGTTTCCAGCTTTATAAGAATGAACCTGTAACCAGATGATTTGCTGAATATTTTCCTTTTTTTTTTCTCCTTTTTAGAGTTTTACAGATTTAATGTCCGATGGGTCGCGGATGTGGCCGAGTTGGGAGCTCGTGAAATGGATGCTTGGTTTATCCAAGCACACAATACCAGCAATAGGTGAGAAGACCTCCAGGTGGCACCTGGTCCTGGCCCGCGGGCCTTGAGTTTGACACATATGCTCTAAATGAACAATGACGTATCCAAATAACTCTTCACAATGTTTCAGTGTGGCAGTCGAGGAGCAGTGGACCTTCTTTGGTGGCAATGTCCCGTTATTAGATGTTCCTGACCTTCTTGGGTGCTGTTATTAGATGTTCCTGACCTTCTTGGGTCCCGTTATTAGATGTTCCTGACCTTCTTGGGTCCCGTTATTAGATGTTCCTGACCTTCTTGGGTCCCGTTATTAGATGTTCCTGACCTTCTTGGGTCCCGTTATTAGATGTTCCTGACCTTCTTGGGTCCCGTTATTAGATGTTCCTGACCTTCTTGGGTCCCGTTATTAGATGTTCCTGACCTTCTTGGGTCCCGTTATTAGATGTTCCTGACCTTCTTGGGTCCCGTTATTAGATGTTCCTGACCTTCTTGGGTCCCGTTATTAGATGTTCCTGACCTTCTTGGGTCCCGTTATTAGATGTTCCTGACCTTCTTGGGTCCCGTTATTAGATGTTCCTGACCTTCTTGGGTCCCGTTATTAGATGTTCCTGACCTTCTTGGGTCCCGTTATTAGATGTTCCTGACCTTCTTGGGTCCCGTTATTAGATGTTCCGGACCTTCTTGGGTCCCGTTATTAGATGTTCCGGACCTTCTTGGGTCCCGTTATTAGATGTTCTGGACCTTCTTGGGTCCCGTTATTAGATGTTCTGGACCTTCTTGGGTCCCGTTATTAGATGTTCTGGACCTTCCTAGGTGGCAATGTCCCATTATTAAACACTGCTATTTACTCACCAGCCTTAAAGTCCTAGTCAGGGGGCATCAACTATATTTTTTTGTTAGGCCATATAGTATATTACTCTAAAAAGGTTTGTAGGCACCTGACCATCACAAATATATCCCATAAATCCCATTCCAAAACCATGGCCATTGCTATGGAGTTGTCCCCCCCCCGTGGCCATTGCTATGGAGTTGTCCCCCCCCGTGGCCATTGCTATGGAGTTGTCCCCCCCCGTGGCCATTGCTATGGAGTTGTCCCCCCCCGTGGCCATTGCTATGGAGTTGTCCCCCCCCGTGGCCATTGCTATGGAGTTGTCCCCCCCCGTGGCCATTGCTATGGAGTTGTCCCCCCCCAAATAACCTTTTGTGAGGTCACGTACTGCTGTCGGAAGAGGAGACCTGGTGTTCATAGCCTTGCCTATATAAGTTCTGTTATACGTCTCTATGCAGGTCTGGCCATCACCGAGAATTTAGCAAACCTGAATCCACAAGGAAGTGCAAAAATGATTCAAAGAGGCAAAAACCTGAAAGATGAACTCAATACATTGCTGGGGAACGACGGAATTCTGATCTATCCGTCTCATCCGAAAATCGCCCCGAGACACCACCAACCTCTGGCTTGGCCGTTCAACTTTGCCTACACTGGTAAGTACTTTCAGTCGTCACAATCAAATATTCTATACATCATGTTTTTGTTTTACCCCCTTACCGAGGGCCGCTGCTCTGCTCTTTGTTGCCATCTGGCACTGCAAGGTTACCTCTTCTGGCCCCATAGAAGTCTATGGGGCTGCAATGTGCAGGTGTGGCCAGCAGAGGGAGCATGGTGGCGCTGGATGTTCACAATAGCAGAACAGTGCCCGTGGGATCTCTTTAAAGGAGAACTATGAGGGGGAGGGGTGTGCTTTTCACTCCCCTCATAGTTCTAGCCGACCTGTGACAATGAGACTGTCACAGGTCGGCTCAGTAGATCGGGAGGTGAGCGAACACATACCGGCGTTCGCTCACCTCTCGATCCTGTCACGGCTCTTTGCCGTCACAGGGGGAGGGGCTGGATTCCCCCCCTCCCTGCTCCGATCCGCCAGTGCTGACTGGCAGAACGGATGGGGGAGGGGGGCGGGTACAGCTGGCTCTGCCTCTAGATAGGCAGAGCCAGCTGTCACTCACGCAGCTGGGCGGATCCCGACGTCCAGGTCGGGATCCGCTCCGGCGTCTCAGTATATAGAGAGCTGTAGCTCGCGGTATACTGCGCTTAGGGTAACGGGAGGACGCTAGTTTGTGTCCTCCCGTTACCCTAAGGAGAACTATGGGGATAAACACTGACCCCATAGTTCTCCTTTTAAGTACGGATCTGTGGAGGGGGAGTGGTTGAGGTCAGGCGGCAAAAAGGACCCTTAAAAACAATTTACAGACACAGCAGAGTGAAAGGCGCAGTGAGCGAACTAACCCGCGTCTTGTCTCCACAGGCATATTCAATGTATTGGGCGTCCCGGTCACTCAGTGCCCGCTGGGGCTCAGTCAGGCTGGACTGCCGCTGGGCATACAAATCGTCTCCTCCCAGTACAACGACCGCCTCACGTTGGCGGTGGCCCAGCACTTGGAAAAGGCTTTCGGAGGTTGGACGGTGCCCGGAAATGTTTGACCCGTCGCCCGCCCTGAGATCTTGGGATTTGGGCGGCCAGCGTTGTCGGCATATTGTATACGATTATTTTTGAATGAATATCAAGTTCCAGCCGGACTTTCACTTTAAATCGGCTTCACCCACCCGTTCCACGTACAGCAAAGCTCAAGGTCTGACACTTGTGTGGAAGCAGCGGTCTCTCCGCAGAGGTTATGACACCCATAGCTCTGCAGTCAGCAAAAAAATGATGCTTCCTGCTGATTGGTCTGCGTCAGAGCTCTGCAGAGAGACCACTGCTTTCCCACAGAGAGCAAGGCTTCTGTCCCAAGGAGGAGTGGGGATGAGGCGATGGACCATGAAGTTGAATAGGAGCAGTATTTGGGTCTAAATGCCTCGGTTCCAACAGCTCTTCACCAAATGGCCTGGGGGGGAGGGGGAGGGGGTGTTGCAGTGCAGCAGGCGTTGTAGGCACTGCGTTATTTTCTTAGGTCGGGTCTCTGAAGAGAAAACCAGCTGTAGGCTGCTACCGTATCCCTTCCCCTGTACTGATCCCTCAAGCAGTAACCAGCAAGGAGGTTTGGTTCTTGTATAGGAGGGATAGGCAACATTGGCACTCCAGCTGTGCTACAAATCCCGTCATGCCTCCGGATGTCAGTCTTGCAATGCCTCATGGGACTTGTAGTTCCACAACAGCTGGCGGGCCGAGGCTGCCTACCCCTGGTCTAGACGGGATGATAAGATAACCCAACACCTTGCCTTTGCCCTTCTTTGGCTGAGGCTTCGTCATAGCTGGAAGGTACCCTCCTTGGTCCACTACCGGGGTACCTCGGCTGAGGCTTCCAGTCATAGATGGAGCGTGCCCTCCTTGGTCCAGTACCAGGGTACCTCAGCTGAGGCCTCCAGTCATAGATGGAGCGTGCTCTCCTTGGCCCTGTACCAGGGTACCTCGGCTGAGGCTTCCAGTCATAGATGGAGCGTGCCCTCCTTGGCCCAGTACCAGGGTACCTCAGCTGAGGCTTCCAGTCATAGATGGAGCGTGCCCTCCTTGGCCCAGTACCAGGGTACCTCAGCTGAGGCTTCCAGTCATAGATGGAGCGTGCCCTCCTTGGCCCAGTACCAGGGTACCTCAGCTGAGGCTTCCAGTCATAGATGGAGCGTGCCCTCCTTGGCCCAGTACCAGGGTACCTCAGCTGAGGCTTCCAGTCATAGATGGAGCGTGCCCTCCTTGGCCCAGTACCAGGGTACCTCAGCTGAGGCTTCCAGTCATAGATGGAGCGTGCCCTCCTTGGCCCAGTACCAGGGTACCTCAGCTGAGGCTTCCAGTCATAGATGGAGCGTGCCCTCCTTGGCCCAGTACCAGGGTACCTCAGCTGAGGCTTCCAGTCATAGATGGAGCGTGCCCTCCTTGGCCCAGTACCAGGGTACCTCAGCTGAGGCTTCCAGTCATAGATGGAGCGTGCCCTCCTTGGCCCAGTACCAGGGTACCTCAGCTGAGGCTTCCAGTCATAGATGGAGCGTGCCCTCCTTGGCCCAGTACCAGGGTACCTCAGCTGAGGCTTCCAGTCATAGATGGAGCGTGCCCTCCTTGGCCCAGTACCAGGGTACCTCAGCTGAGGCTTCCAGTCATAGATGGAGCGTGCCCTCCTTGGCCCAGTACCAGGGTACCTCAGCTGAGGCTTCCAGTCATAGATGGAGCGTGCCCTCCTTGGCCCAGTACCAGGGTACCTCAGCTGAGGCTTCCAGTCATAGATGGAGCGTGCCCTCCTTGGCCCAGTACCAGGGTACCTCAGCTGAGGCTTCCAGTCATAGATGGAGCGTGCCCTCCTTGGCCCAGTACCAGGGTACCTCAGCTGAGGCTTCCAGTCATAGATGGAGCGTGCCCTCCTTGGCCCAGTACCAGGGTACCTCAGCTGAGGCTTCCAGTCATAGATGGAGCGTGCCCTCCTTGGCCCAGTACCAGGGTACCTCAGCTGAGGCTTCCAGTCATAGATGGAGCGTGCCCTCCTTGGCCCAGTACCAGGGTACCTCAGCTGAGGCTTCCAGTCATAGATGGAGCGTGCCCTCCTTGGCCCAGTACCAGGGTACCTCAGCTGAGGCTTCCAGTCATGGATGGAGCGTGCCCTCCTTGGTCCAGTACCTCGGCTGAGGCCTTCAGTCATAGATGGAGCGTGCCCTCCTTGGTCCAGTACCAGGGTACCTCAGCTGAGGCTTCCAGTCATGGATGGAGCGTGCCCTCCTTGGTCCAGTACCAGGGTACCTCAGCTGAGGCGTGCCAACACTTTAAAAAAAACTTTGATAATTACAAACTGACCAGTGCAGCAACTGTTATTTAATAAATTAAAAAACACCCACCCCATTCCAGCTTAGACATAAAAGGCCCATAAGTGGAGGCGGACCCTGTACATCACCGCACTTATTTCCTGTTTTCATGTAATTATATGGATGTAGAACGGAACATTTAATTTGATAAAGCACTGTGTATAATAAACAGTTGCCTTTTTTATAAACACTTGTTTTCATTTTATTTTTGTTATCCCTTGTTGCGTCTCAGTGCTGCCGATCTCCCGCTGCCTCTTTACATCCACTTCCCGTCTCCATGCACCCCCAGCGATGGCTGCCGTGGCATTTCTCAGGTCGGGTTTCCTGATGGTGACAACAGTGGACCGTGTCTGTGTTATGCGTGTTGAAATGGCCACTTGCGGTCTCCATCGGAAGCCCACGTAGGGTGACAACGCAGGAGAACGAGAGTTGTCACCCGATAACAAGTCTCACCCTTTCGCTGCCAGGGCCTTTTTCATTTTTACACCCGTGTTATAATCCACATTTTAGGCCCGTAAATGACTTCAAACCCCCCAGACGTGATATATTTTCAGAAAGCAGAGACCCTGTAGTATAAAATGGCGGCAGTTGCAAATTTTTATGTTGCACGAGATTGGCGCAACTCTTCATCAAACCCCAAAAAGTTTGTAAAAATTGCACTTAAATGCCCCAAAATACCCATTTTTTATATATATATATATAAAAAAGTTGGTGATATCGATAGATGCCCGACATAAAAATTGCGTGGGACTGTGAAACGGCGACAAATTTCAGTACCCCAAAAAGTCAATAGACGACGCTGTAAAAGCCCCTCCACAGGTCATCAGTTTAGAGATACGTGTAAATATTGGCCCTGGAATTATTGCTCTCACTCAGGTGTGCGCGGCGATACCCAACATGTGTAGCGCGATCAGCTTTTTTTTTATACGTAGGCGCACCCGACGCGTGTTTATGGGGGGCTTGCTATTGGCAGTGACAGGTCCTCTTTAAAGGTGATACTGGGGGTCCAAAAGACCCCCCACCCCCAGTGTCACCTTTACACTCTGAATAAGCTATTGGGGTGCAGATCGCCCTTCAATAGTTTATAGCTGGGCTTCAGGAGCCGACCAATGACAGCCCAGGGACCGGAAGTGATGTAATACGCGTCGCTCCCGGTCCCATAGAACGGGGAGATCGGTGAACGGACCTTCGCCACTCTCCTCCCCAGCTTCCCACCGACACCCCAGACAGGAAGTGAAGGGTTAGTATGTAGTCTTCCCCTACATACTAAACACAATCCTATGTGTTTAGTATGTAGGGGAAGACTATGTTTCCCCGTGTGCTGCTGTTGGAGATTCCCCTTCACTTCCTGTTTCGTGAAATAGTGTCGGCGCGACAGGAAGTTAAAATGGAATGGCTCTACCTGAGCCCCGGCTAGCGAGTTCTGCCCTGTATGAAGGCCAAAGCCTCCGATTGGAGTAAACTCATCTGATGATACGTTGTAACCTCCACTAAAGATCACAACCAGCGGGATGAATAACAAAGCTTTATTTAACAAAATGAAAAAAAAAACACAATTCGGCACAAATTATTTTTTTAATGAGAGCCGGACATTCGTTAAACTTTAATCAAACGCCAGAGGCAATCCTCTCTCCTGCTCCTTCCTCCGAGTCTCGCATTCCTTCGTCACCTGTTCCACTTTCCTCTGAAGAAGAGCTGGAGAAATAAAAAGACGGGGACCGGGTGATGCATGCAGGAAGCCATGCGTATAACAAAACCCCGCTCCCCCCGCATGGCTATCCTCATGTAAAGTAGAACTATTGCACACAATGCAGCTTCCTGTGTTGGGGGGCAACAATGCTGCAATGCTCCTGAACTCAGAGCAGAGTTGTCGCCCTCATGCAGGCTGTGTCTGCTTACACTACAGCAGGGGGACAGGATGTCATGGGGGCGTGGCTATCGTAATGGTCACTGCCGATTCGCTAGCCTGCAGCAACGGCAAAGTCCGGCCCCCTAGCTGTGGTGAAGCTACCAATCCCATCATGCATCTGCCTCTGGGAGTCATGCCTGTGGCTGTCATAACCTAGCAATGCCTCATGCAGGGATGGCCAAACTCCTGCCCTCCATCTGCGGTGGAACTACAAATCCCATGAGGCTTTGCAAGATTCTCACAGCCACAGGCAGGACTCCCGGAGAGAGATGCATCATGGGATTTGTAGTTTCACCCACAGCTGGAGGGCCGGAGTTTGGCCATCCCTGGCCTAACGCAAAGCAAAACTCCAGCCCTCAAGCTATGCTTTAACTACAAATCCCAACATGCCTCTGGAAGTCATGCCTGTGGGAGTCCTGCAATGCCTCATGGGACTGCTGGAGGGTGGGAGTCGCCCACGCCCGGCCTAATGAGATGTCGGTACTCTGCAGCTGGAGAGCAGAACTTCGCCTAACTCTGCTATAGTGTGTCAATCAGCACCAGGCCACACCCACTGCTGTTTGGATTGACAGGTCTGCTGAAACCCCTCCCACTGTGAGCTGCAGTGACTGGGAGGGGGAGCTGGGGGAGACACAAATGGAATATTTGGGCTCAGTCGGGGGAGGTTCTATGAGAAGCGTTAGCTACAAATATAAATGTGACACTCACCAGAGTTCTGATCAACCCATTGCAGCGAGTCCATGTGAGCGTTGAGGATTTTACAGATCTGCTGGAGCTGTCAGAAAACAAAAAGTAGAGAATATTAAAGTCCATTCCAAACCGACACCCGACAGAAATCCAGTGAGCTCCGAACTCTCCATATGAGCTGACAACTGCTGCAATGAAATCCCAGGCAGTGTTGTCAGCCCCGTCTCATTCTCCCCTGGTGAACCACAGAATAGGGTGATGCTCCCTCGTCACCAGCCGGCTCCATGCTTCCTCGTCACCTGGTGGAAGCCGGCTTCCCGACCAATCCGGTATCGGCATAGGTATCAGGAGCTGGCCAACCAGGAAGCCGGGCAGCAAGTCATTACATGCCCCCCCCCAGCTTGCTGATTGGCCAGGAAGCCGGATTCATGCTTCCTCGTCACCTGGTGGAAGCCGGCTTCCCGACCAATCAGGAAGCCGTGCAGCGAGTCACTAGCCCGCCGCCCGGCTTCCTGATAGGCTGGGAAGCCGCCTCCATGCTGAGTGGCCAGGAAGCAGGCTCCATGCTGATTATTAGCATGGAACCGGCTACCTGGCCAAGCAGGAAGCTGGGTCAACACCCGCTGCTCGGCTTCCTGATTGGTCGGGAAGCCTTTGTTCTGCCGAGGTGGCCAAGGCGTCGAGATCTCCAACTCGTGACGTCGCGTCTGTTGTAGATTTCCACAAGATGGCGCTACTGCACCTGCTCCAGTCGTCAGGTTTAGCAATCCTCGTTGACTTCTCCAGTTGCCATAACTGCGCCTGTGCGGCTTACAAATTGCGACCGAGTTCTCCAACTCCCGCCGGTGCTTGTGGCGTCGGATGCTCGCACAGGCGCACTGCCGCAGATTGTAGAGCTTGATGCTTCACTTGGGTGGCTGCGCGGGCGCACTGACGGGAGTTGGAGATCTTGACAAGTTGGAGAATTTGATAGAACACCGGCTCCATGTTCCCTTGCGGCACTGCCGGTCAGAGGAAATCTCCTTATGACCAGAAGTTCTCGTATCGGTGCATCCCTAGGTTACACAGTTCTCCTAAATGGAACGGCAGCCGCCAGCTGGCGCTACCTTAAGGCCCCATTCACACTGCGCGATATCGCTCTCCAATGCATGGCAATGGGGCTCTGTCCGTCGCTGTCACGGGTTGTACGTCGCTACAGCAGGACCCTTTTTGGAGCGGATTTTGCCGCGATTCTAGTTTGCTCAATGCAACCATTTGCGCGATATCGCGCAAAATGCAAATCGCGCGATTTGCGAATCGCTCAGTGTGAATGGGGCCCTAGGGGAACTGTGTGCTGCAGCGGTCTGTGTGCCTTCAAATCCCCCGCTGCTCTCCTCGCCTGTGTTGGCGGAGGCAGCGGGGACCCGCTGCATTCCTCCGCTGCCCCAGTACCTCTGCTGCTGTCCCCCCCTGGTCTGTTGGCTTCTCCGTTCCCCCGTCCAGCC